GGTAGTGAACTTACCCTTTATGTGCTTGATGTGGTATGCTCATGTGTTGGTTTGTATTTGTTGTTTGAATGATGTTGTGACATGATGATTGTTGCTAGAAATGCTGTTTTTAATATGTTTCCCATGGCCATGCATTTTTATACCAAGCATAAAGCATGATGGCATGTCACTAGTTAACTTAAGTTTATGAAAAACTACATACCATACATTAGCATCCATCTTGTGCATGTATGTGGTAATGTTTGCTACTGAGATTCCCCTGAATCTCACCCCTTCATAACCAACCATTTAGGTCAATCAACGATGGGCAATAATGGCATGAGAAGCAAGAAGAAGTAAGCGGAGAATTATTCTTGTTAATGGACAAGACTGTTGATGAATGTATAATTCTCCTATTTTGTAAACTATGTTATGGATGTCAATGATGTCATGTATTTAATTATAATATTTATGGCATGAATATAAATGTATGAGAATGAATGGGAAAAAGTAATCCCAAGTTATGTATGTCAAAGAAATAAAAAGAATTAAAGTAAAGAGTAGTTAAGGGGCAAAACGTAGGTCCTGGGGTAGTGAGTTTGTAGCTCTAGTTTGACCTAGCAAATGAATGAGTTTAGCCACAAGATTTGGCATACTTATAGTACACATCCCAAGATTTAAAATGAGAGTTAGATCACCTCAATTGAACGTGTACACAAGGAGATACGAATTTTCAAAGTTGAGGCACAGAATCTCAAAGTTCCAGATTTTACCAAATGAACAGTAATCTTTATTGATTAAACTGTACGAATTGGGTAAGGATAAGTCTAATTGGATATTTTTTTCTTAAAGAGATTTCAAAGAGCTTTCAGTATAATTTTAGAACACCTCAATATGATTTTTGTAGAATTAGTTATGATTTTTCAAAGTTGGACCTGTAATCTGAAATTTAAACAGTGAATAGTAACCCGAGTAATTATGTTGAAATTTTTAAGCCACGGGTTTGTGTCGTGATCCACTTGAACCATAACACTTCCAAACGTGTACTTTGAGGGGCTAAAGGTAGGATGTTTCAGAAAACATAACCAAAGAGGCCTTTTATCTCACCTTGTTTAATAAGTCTTTTCAATCACTGTTGATTGCTTAATGTATAACCTTCTTTGTATTATCGTTGCACTGGTTCTTGGAATCAAATAGCAAGGCGAGCGGCGTGGAAAATTTCATGTTGAACAACCCTCTCTTGCGCTTTTTTTTTTTTTTGAAAAAAATTGTTAAACACTGCATTTTATATAAATGGAGAGACTCTTCGCCACGACGTCAATGAAGTGAACGAGATTTTTAGAAAATTCTACGAAACTTTATAACTTAAAATTAATGGTGGATGCTTATAATCAAATTATAAATTATAAAGGTCCAATTTAAACAAAATAATGTACAGAACCTAATTTAAATTATAAGAACAAACAGATTATATTTTCTTCATTCCTTAAAGAAATATGAGGATACTTTGAGAAACCATTAGGCTTAACAGAAGCTTATTTGAGATAGCTAATCTTAATTAAACAACTAGCCCCAATTAATACTCTCCAAAATTTGAAGGGAGAATTTCAATAAATCGCCTCAATAGCCAATTAATATCAGTCAACTCCTAAGAAATTCTGAAATTTCATTACACCCCAAAAGATCAAAGAGAAGACAAAAATACTGTTGCTTTATTTTGAACCTGTGAATTTTCTTGTGTCCCTTACAAATTGTCAAATTTGTACTGCAAATCTCCAAATTCTAATTGTTGTATATTGCCAAATTTGAGTTGTTCATTTATACCAAAAGAATTATATTTGGGGTTATAAATTTTCTTATATTTCTTGCGAATCATCAACTTTGTGTTACATATCATCAAATTATTATTGTAAATCACTGAATTTGAGTTGTTTATTCACCTATAAAATTTAGATGGATTTACAACTTAAATTCAATAATTTGTAATACAAATTTGGCAATTTACAATGCAAATAAAGTAAGGTTATATTTTTTCCTTTTTAGACATAAAATTTTGGTCAATGGATTGGAATGAAATTCCATAACTTTTTGGGAGTTGATTGATGTTAATTGGCTACTGAGAGAGTTTATTGAAATTCTTCCAAATTTGAAGGGGATCTTTGGAGGAAGCGATAAAACACAAAGCAAGTTAATTAATAAATAAATTTATTAATTAATATCCCAAAGTTGCCTCCGATTCTGGAACTTATGTACACCTCACCTCACAGCCATTACAAACATCTAGTTATAATTAGACTTTTAGACACTATTGAGAAAAGGGGTTGGTGTGTTTCTCGTAGAAAGAGGCATAGAGATGCCTGTGTCCAAGTTGAGACCTTAGAGAGAGAGAGAGAGAGAGAGAGGGAGGTTTGACTCCAATGAAAGGTAAATTAAAAAAAAATTTGGCTGCACGCTTGGGGAGCAAACACAATGTGAAGCAAGAGACAAAAATGGGTGGAACCGAGGGCTTAAATTATGGGACCTTCACTGAAATTGGAGTCCCAAGTTTGGTCTTTTGACTCATCTCACTTCCCTTAGTCTTAGCTTAGCCTCCATTTATGAGTGGTACGGCACTTGCCATCCAACCACTGACATTTTGGGCGATTTTAATTGCTTATGGGATTATATTATTTTTCCCGTGTTGAAACCTATTTTGGTTTTTCTAAAAACAAAGACCTTTGAGAAAACCTATGGCTTTTGCATTTCCAATGCCTTCAAAATTTGAGGATTTTGCTTTCAACTTGTTCCTTCTTTTACCAAAAGACCCTTGTCACTTATAAATTAAAGGACCCCATCGTGAAGGACAAATGAAGTCCACACGTTTAATTAACTTCGTTAAATACAATTTATTTCTTATGCCATTTTCTTGTCGCTCGTTTCTTTACATTAGGAGAGCAACAACACACACACACAGAGATTCCATTATATGGAAAAAATTTTGCTTAAAAAAACAAAGAAGATTGGTGAGACTTGTGAAAAATAGTAGGGGAACGAAAATAAGAAGTAATACAGCTCTCTGCCCGTATCAGTGGTAACTGTGAAACATGCAACTTTCTCTCTTTCTCGAAAAAGTTTTGCTTCTGAAAATGATTTGATCTGTTATAAAATATATATTAAAGGAAACAAAAATATCATGAGTTAGCCTGTCATTAGGATGAATCAAAATGGGCTTCACAAACCTAGCTTTTTTTGTTTTTTTGTTTTAAAATGCTTTCAACTAGCTTTGATGAAATTTGCACAAGAAATCAATCAGCTAGAGATCAAGTTTTCTGTCACCATCATTTCTTTCGAACTTTGAACCTTTTGTCATGCCATCCAAAATTATTATTTCTTCAATATCATGCAAGTCTACAAAATTATATCCTTTCCAATAAGCTTTGGCTTTAATGTGCAAAGACCATAAGTATGAAGCTTGATATACACATATCTAAAGGATCAAATGTATACTTTAGCCTTCAAGGTTTATGAAACTTATGTTGATTTTAATTAACAAATCTTTAAAACCCAACTGATCAGAAGCTTTTTCTTCAAAAAGAAGGGAAAAAGAAGAGAAGAAACTTGTGCTAGTAATTGACATTTTAATACATACAACTTTAAGTAAATGATATATATAACTCCCTTCACCTGAAAAGAATAATGTTAATTAAGTTGAAAAGAAGCTTAGGTTTGTGAGAAGTAATAGTCTTCAAGATAGGAAGGCTCACATATTGAATGCCCTAAAGCAGAGTCACCACACAGTACAAATATATTTCTTTCTTTCAATAGTCTCTTTAATTTCATTAAAATCAAGACTAGCATATATTTTTTTCTGCTCAGTCCGAAGCACAATATTGAGTAAGTTCTTGGTAACTCTGGTACCTCAAAAGCATTGGAAGCAATAAACAAATGAGCTTTAATGTAGCATTAAATCATTAATAACGATGTTTTCTAATACCAAACGGTCCCCTCCACATTTTTTCAGACTTTGAGATCACGAGTCCTCTTGTAGTAGTCTGAAACTCGACAATTATAAAATTAGACCAATTCTTAAATCATAATCTTTTCTAGTCTGACAAAATCAGTAGAATAGAAGCTCTGGGGAATGGAATAGAAACGGGATTTTCGGATTCTGAGCAAACTGAGAGAATCAATATCAGTACTATAATCCTAAGTGAGTCTATCTGGAATTTTTCTGTTCAGTTATTTATATATATAAAATTTGAGCTGTGTTTTGGAATCTGGTTCAATCAGGTCCACGTTTCCAAATGTTAATTAGTTCAAAGTTTCAAATACCACACCCCATTCAAATAATCCTCACTTCGAAATTTGTTCCGTCTTGGCTTGTAGCGGATAGCGCCAAAACTTTCATGAGATTAATATGTTTAATGGGTGATTAAATATGGGATCATAATCCCCATGAGTTGATAATTTCGATGGCTTATTGAGATTCCACCTTTTGCTTCATGAAAAAGCAAAAAGAAAAAAAAAAATCATTGAGGTGCCATTATAACTAGAAAATAGCGGATAATTTGAAAACTGAGTTTCGTTATAATTAGAGTGCATATAAATGTCCTAGACCTTTTACAGCAACATACATAATGTTCTTTTGTTATCGTTAGTGTTGGCATGCATGTTAATTTCTTAAATAAGAAATAGTAGCGGTGTGCTTTGAAAGGTGTTTGACTTAATGGTTTTTCTTACTTTCTCGGTAGTTGCTCTAAGAGTGTGTGTTTTTTCTTTTTTTAAAGAGATTTGCCATCAGTTTCTTTAAGTGTAATAAGAGCCAAAGCTGCGAGATCCTCGCAAACCACACACACTCCTTCGAAGTCACCAGAGAAGGCGGCTGATCCTTCGGAGGCAGACCCCTCCTCAGGAAGCATATAATGCCTTCAAATTAAGTGATTAACTTCTCTCTCAACTTGCTCACCTAGCTTCTTTTTGTTTTCTTCTTCTTCTTCTAGGGTTTCTTGTCAAAGCCTAAGCCATTTCTCAGGAAGTAGCTTCCACCTTGTTTCTGAGATTTTTGCTCTCACTTTTAGTATCTCCAGCAAACACAAGGTTACTCTCTCTTTCCAGTGTTTAGTAGAACTGCAGAAGAATAGTTTAATAAATCATGGAAGAGAGAAGTGATTGTGAGAAGCTTGATGAAGTCATGCTTCCAGGTTTCAGATTTCACCCAACTGATGAGGAGCTTGTTGGGTTCTATCTCAAGAGAAAGATTCAGCAGAGACCTCTCTCTATAGAGCTCATAAAGCAGCTTGATATCTATAAATATGACCCATGGGATCTTCCAAGTAAGTCCCTACCCTCTCCCTTATAAACATCATTCCTTCCGTTTAACAATTCTTTAATGTTCATTGCTAGTTCTGAAGGTATGAACGTAATATAATATGTTATCTATGTGGCCAGAGTTGGCAAGTACATGTGAGAAAGAGTGGTATTTTTACTGTCCTAGAGACAGAAAATACAGAAACAGTGCACGGCCAAATAGGGTAACTGGAGCTGGGTTCTGGAAAGCCACAGGTACTGATAGGCCCATATACTCCTCTGAGGGCTCAAAGTGCATTGGATTGAAGAAATCTCTTGTCTTCTACAAAGGAAGAGCTGCCAAAGGAATCAAAACTGACTGGATGATGCATGAGTTCAGATTACCTTCTCTTTCAGACTCTTCCTCTTCACCAAAAAAGTTCTCAGAAAGAACCATCCCTGCTAATGTAAGTGCAACTTCTCTCAGAATCTATAACTAATAAGGGATTTGAAATGATACTGAACTAAATGATTCCTTCTATAGTTAAAAATATCATTATGGATCGACCGAATTTGAGGTGCTTTTGAGATTGCAGGATTCGTGGGCAATCTGCAGAATATTCAAGAAAACAAACTCTACAGCCCAAAGAGCTGTCTCCCATTCCTGGGTCTCTCCCTTACCTAATGAAATGAACACTTGTGAGGTGCTAACCAAAGACGAAGACGCTTCCAAGTTTTGTTCAAATCATAATAACATTTCGTCTTTGACAAAGAAAACTAGCTTACCCAGCCAGTTCTGTACCAACACAATCGACCCCTTAACCTCCAACACCAGTAGTGTTCATTGCCCTTTAGATGTTACCCCGTACAAACCCATCATTAACCCATTATTGCTCTACAAACCCTTTGACCAATTACCCATCATGTCATTAAATAACTCAGACCTTATGTTTTCATCATCACCTCTTGAACCATGCAGTGCTAAAGCTGCCACCATGGACATTCCCTCCATGTTACTGAACATGTCATCATCTTCTGTGCTTGGAGAATTTGGCAGTAAGGCTTCATTAGAGGCTGCAAATTTTGCAGGGTTTCAAGAACAGTACAGCACTACTACTGGGTATTCATCATCAATAGCTCTACCGGTAATCCAAGATCGGAATGGATTGGTGAAGATGAATCACCCGCATTCTAATATGAACGTGAATGTGGTGATCCCTAGAGTGTTGGAGGAGCCAGATCAGATAAATATGCACGAGGCATGGAAGTCAAATCTGCTATGGGAGAGTTCATCCTGTCCTTGAGATCATGTGCCCTCTACTTACTCTACAACCAAGTGCTATACCTAGGAGAGTCAACTTTATTATTATATACATATATTTTTAGAAGTCATTGTTTTTCTAGCTAGCTTCTAGGTAGTAGTGCAGTCAGTCTGACCTTTTTTTGCCCCTTAGATTTCTGTATGTTCAATTTAAATTAGCATGTTAGGGCTTTTCTTTTAGTGTTATATTTAAGACTCTGAACTTTTTGTAACTCTGACAAAATGGCAGCTCCTTGTGGAATAGAAATGTGTCAACAATCCTGATCAAAGTTCAAAACAAGAATGAAAACATATGCAATCAAAGTGCTTTTGAACAAATTTGTGTATAAATGTTGGCACATACGTACATATGCATGTACAAGCATACATACGCAGATATAACATATATAGCAATAGTGGTATTACTGTAGAGAGAATATACATGAAGACAATGGTTCAAGCAAATCAAGGACCCAGTTTTAGTACTCACCACAGTATAAACATCATGGTGCTCATACAATTTCAACGGTTTAGATTTAAAATTTTTAACTAATTATTGTTATATAATAATAAAAATTTTGATAGCAAATTATCTTTATTTTGAGCTCCGTATACCCATTAAAATAATTATTTTAAAAAATAAAAATAAAAAGAACATAAATTTGGACTGTCCATATATCTTTAGATGGTCCAGATTAGATGATCATTTGATTAGCACCGAAGCTCAATTCACTGATTGAATAGGTTTTTGTATTTGGATAAAAAGTTACTACAACAACAAGTGCATGCAAATCACTACAAAAAAGAAACATCATTTTTTTTAATAGTTATTTTGTATGATTTGTAACAGTTCTACCGTGGCTTAGTAGCAATTCTATGAACCACTACTCACATGGTTAAATCGGCTACAGTTTTTTGAAGCAATTGAAGATACCCCAACAAATGACGAAACAAGAGGAGATCACTATGACGACATTAGTAGCGGTTATAAAACTACTATAAATAAATTGACAAGAAATTGTTCCACTTTGCAACAGTTAAAGAACTGCTACAAATTATTGAGCAAAAATTATGTGGTAGGAAATGAATAATAGTAGGAATCATCTGAATCGCTACTTTTTTTTAGAGGGAAAATTTTGTATGGCAGGAAACAAAGAATTTGACAATAGGACCAAAATTTGTAACAATTTTGTAACTGCTACAAAATTTGAACGGTGGAAAAATTTGGCGACCTTTCATACTTTGTAGCGGTTCTAGAATGGATACAAATATTCTTTATATATGAAAAAAAATAAAATTCAGATTTTTCTTAATTATATTAGCATTTAATTAGAATATATAATTAAAGAGATATATACATTATATAACCATAATGTAAAATTTTATTAAATTTTTCAGATCCAAAGTATGTTAAGATTGATAATATTAAATTAACGTATGATTATGGGAATGAAATTTAATTCATGTAGGCTAAAAAATTTGGAAAATATAGATAAGGAAGAGATAGAAGGGAAAAAGTGTGGAAAATGTTAAGGAGATCCATGCATGAGAGAAGGAACACCTGAATAGAAGAAAAATATCATATTAGTAAAATGTAAGTAAAAACTAAATAATGTAAATTTATATGAAAAACAAAAAATAAACTCATAATAGCAAAACATAAAAGTAAACATGAAGAAAGTGGAAAGAAAGAAGAACAATGTTGGAGAAGAAGAAAGGGAAAGGAGTAGGACGAAATGAAAGGGTATTTATATTGGATAGCACTTTGTAATGGTTTTTTTTTTTTTTTTGGTTACAGAGGAGGCAAAAGCCAAAACAGATACAAAACTAAATAGGAGGGGATATCGATCCCAAACACTCTTCAGACACAACGCTTCTCAGGTGAGAAGGACAAGTAGCCAAGAGGATGGTTTTAGATAACCCATCCTTTGCAAGCGAGTCTGCAACTCGGTTTTGCCGTCGAGAAATATGCACGATTTTGACCTCCCATTGGCGCTTCAGCAATTTCAGTATCTGAGTAACGACAAGGCTGTAGATATACTCGTTCCTCTTTTCCGTAATCATGTCAACCACAATTCTTGAGTCAGATTCAAGAATTATTTTTTTGAACCCCATATCCCAAGCCAATTTAAGACCTTCATACACAGCCCATTCCTCTGCCTCAAGAGCACTGCACGAACCAAGAGCCTGAGAAAATCCTACAATCCAGATCCCAGACTTATCCCTTATCACCCTGCCGCAACTTGCTCTGTTGGAAGAAGCTAACATTGCTCCATCTACATTGACCTTTATCCAATCTGCTGGGGGCGTCTGCCATGTAACTGAGATACTAGATGTTGGTTGATTACCCACAGTGGGTCTGTCATTTGTGTGCACAAATAATTTCCAGGTATGCGAAACAACAAGAGCAGGGTTTGGTGGTTTCACAAAGTCTTCCGAGAAGACTGCATTATTCCTCCAAAGCCAAAGTTTCCAGCAAGCAACTCCCCAGACTAGATTCCAATCTGAAGACCATTGACTTCCTAATTCTTTGTTGAGATTTAAGGCCATCTAGTCTCTCAAAGATGCAGTAAAGAAGGCCTTATGAAATTTGGGGTTCACAAGTTGTAACAACATCTGTGTAGCATATTGGCAATCCCGAAGCACATGTAAAGTACTTTCAACCTTACGAGTACAACAAAGACACAGAGGCGATGTATCAGACCACTTACTACGCCAGTCATTCATTGGTAATCTATTATTATAGACTAACCACATAAAGACTCTTATTCTTTCTACTCCTTGCCATTTCCAAATTAATTTATAAGTAGAGCTATATAAATTGTGAGGATTCCTCTCGATCAAGAAATAAGCACTTTTAATAGTGAAATAACCATGGTTCGTACCTTGCCACATCATCACATCATTTCCGGTATTAGGTAAAGGTGGGAGTCTGGCTATAAGACGTTGGATAACTTCAGATGAAACAACAGTACCCAGTTTTCTATAATCCCATGCTCCATGCGCAACCCAATCGGCCACAGTTGATTCATTCTCCTCCTCTGATAAAGGTCTTATACAAAGATCCTTTATTTTTTTTATCTGGAAATAACCATTTATTATTGAAAAAGTTGACAAAATTCCCATTTCTAACTTGCCATTGCGTACCTTCCTCAACAAACTGTTTCTGTCGGCAGACAAATTTCCAGAATTTTGAATCACCTGGCTGGACCATTAACAGATCAGTATCACTTCTATTCATATATTTGTGCTGCAAAACATTAGCCCATAATCCATTTGACCCAGATAGTAAACTCCAGGCCAGCTTACATCCAAAAGCACTGTTAACAAAGGCAAGTTTTTTAAAACCAAGACCACCATACTCTTTCGATAATGATAATTGATTCCACCCAATAGAATGCCAACCTCGGCTATCATTAGTGCTATTCCATATAAAATTCTGCTGTAATCTTTCCACCTCAGAGCAAATACTCTTAGGGATTTGTGCTACTTGCATCGGGTACAGTGGGACAATACTGACTACCAATTTTGCAAGGGTTATGCGGCCTGCCATTGATAGACTTTTGGCTTTCCAAGCAGCAAGCTTTGATTTAACTCTATCAACAATATAATGGAAAGTCTCCTTAGTTTTCCTTTTCCTGGAAATAGGAAATCCAAGGTAAACTCCAATTTCATCAATTACTTTCATCATAGTCAGGTTCTGAATATTTTTCCTCACTGAAGGATTTACTTTAGGAGAGAAGAAAATTGAGGATTTCGCAATACTCACTTTCTCCCCTGAAACTTTACAGAAAAGCTGAATACAATTCATCATAGAAGTAGCTTGTTCTTCTGTAGCCTCTCCAAATAACAGAATATCATCCGCAAACATTAAATGGGACACTGCAGGTCCCTTTTTACTAACATAAATTGGCTTCCAGTGACCGGCTCTCACTGCATCACTGATTATATGAGAGAGTCTGTCCATACAAAGTACAAACAATAAAGGAGAAATAGGTGTTAGAAACAATCTCACCCAAGAGGGGGGTGAATTGGGTGAGTTACAAAAATTTAAAATTAAAAGCGTGCAAGTATTGAATGAAACAGAGAGTCAGAGTAAGGAAAATTTTAACCGCAGAGAGGAGACACAAGATTTATACTGGTTCGGTCTAAACCACGTGACCTACTTCCAGTCCCCAGAACACCTCTGAGTATTTCACTATTTTCCAAGATCGACAGGGCTCTTGGTGCCTCGGTACAGTAATTGAATCGCTCAATCACTCCCCCTTACTCCCGTAAGGATACAACCCCTCTCAAGAGTCCACACTCTTGAGTGTCTCTCAAGTTTTTAATAAACGTAGTGAATGGCTCTCTTACAGAGTGAATTCAATGATAAACACTGATGCTCAGTAGTAATGTGAAAAACAGAGTATTGAATGCGTAACTGAATAATCGCAGGTGGTAGTTCAGGTATTCAATCTCTTCATTAATGCCTCTTCGCGCCTTTTATAGTTGATATCGTTAAATAGCCGTTAGACGGAAGGGCTTCTAGCCGTTGTGACTTCGTTTGCGTGTTTCACTGGTTTTAACGGCTCCGCCATTAATGCGTCTGAGTTTCTGACACTGTAGGTCGCAGTCTACGTAATCCCGTTGAAGAGCCGTTGCACTCGTTTTCATTAATCTGCATATTTCAAACTTAGAACAAATGAGAGTTTTGTGGTGAGTGCTTTAATCTTGAATACAGAAAGAAAGCTAATCTATCATTCAAGGATTTGTGACGAAATCATTTATCAGTAAGAAGAACAAAATGTCATTCTGGTTTAGTTTGATCGAAAAAGTGATCGATTACTTGATGATAGATCAAGTTATCGATAACCAGAATGAAGACTTTTCGAAGTAGATCACTAAAATTATCGATCAAGTGTTGGATCATTGACTTTAAGAATTATCATAGGAAGAGGAAATCATTGCATGATCGAACAAGTGATCGAACATATAATTGATCGAACAGATTATCGATAATTTAAATGTTATTGAAATGAAGCTTCAGTCATTGATGATCGAACATCTTATCGATAAATGTATGATGGATAATATTATCGATAAAACATGGTTATGTAAATAATCAAAGAAAGACACAGGCTATTTGAAATGATCGAACAGTTGATCGATCATTAACTAT